TCAGGTGAAAAAAGAAAAGAATTCTAGAAAATGCCAGACATACTGGAAATAATAAATGAAAAACTGCCCATTGTCACACATGCTAAGTAAGAATTTTTCTTGCCAGCAAACATCACACCTGCATACAGCAGTCCTGATCTTGGAAGCAGGAAACCTGATGAGTTTTCTCTAAGACCTTAGGAGCTTTGGCAGTTTTCCTCATGTTCTTACAGACTTCTAGGAGTAGAAATCTCAAAATAAAATTAAAAAAAAAATAGAAAATCATTTTTAAAAACCAAAAAACCAGACTTCCTCCCCTTTACCTCAACAAAATAGGGGTTATTTTGCAAGTAGAAAAGATTCTTGGAATTGTTTTCTATCCAGTTTCACATAATTGTCTTGCTATGTGAAATCCATCTTCCTCTTACACCTTTCTCAAAGAGAAGTGAGCAGTGGAGTGGAACCATGGTGTATCTTCCAAGTTCTGTAGATACAGCTGAACTAAAACTGGAAGTGATTTAAGATAACCAGATTCATCAACATAACTATTTTCTTCTCTTGTGTAACTCTTTGATGATGCTTCTGGCTGTATGAGTTTTTTCTTGATCCTGCAACCCAGAAGTTTTTTCTCCCAGTTGTGCTGAGAGACTCTCTTTAAGCACTTCATACCATTTCTTTTAAACCACTGATAAAATATCTTCAGACCCTGTACAGCTATGTTAAAAATTGTAATGATGTTTCACAATGAATTCAATGAAGGAATGTGATGCTTTTGCTTGATGTTTGCTTGATCTTTAAGCAGAGCTTGCTTTCAACTTATTTGATCCAATCTACCTAGATGCCATATTTAAGGATGCATGTTTGCATTCCTTCTAGCAGCTGAAGCACATTCCATACTTTGGAAGTTGATGACATCTCATAAATGACCACTGGGAAAAGAGCAGATTCTCTGTCCTTGCATTTCTTATCAATGTACAATAATTTAAAAGATGGTTGGTAAAAGTGCACAATTTTTGAGTTCTCAGCTCTGAAAAGACTGTTGGATATGACATTTTTTGAGAGACAGTATTCCTGTCTGAGTTACAGAAAAGAAAAATTTGCTTCTCGTGCTGAGTTTTCTGAATAACTACGGGGAAGAAATCTGTAAGAATCAAATTCACTTGTGGCTTTATGAAGATTTATGGTTATTTCAATAGGTTTTCTTTATTAGGAGGGTGTCACAGTCCTTAATTCATAATCAACCTGTGGGTTATTGAATTTTCAGTGTAATATACCTCTTGCTTAAATTCTGTAGAATAATTTGTAGCATAGATGAATGGAAATTTTCTCCATGCACAATACAATGAGGATATCAAGAATCCTGAAAATATGTGTTCATTTGTCTTGCTTTGCAACATGAAAAAAAGCCCTGCATTGTCATTTTAAAGAAAAAAAGGCATATTGATTTTAAATTTTAATTTTTGATCTGCACAGACTGAAGCAGATATTTTATATTTGCACTTGAGTGAGGCTGCCCGAGGTCCCTATTTTAAACAGGAGTTCTTCCCTCTCTGGATCACAAGTCTGTAGGCCTCATTCAGCTTGTCTGTAGGCACTAGAAGCTAATGATTTTCTGTGGTTGTGTAAGATTCAGCTTGGAAATTTAAAAAAGAAAAAATAAAACTCTTCTATTCTCAGTCAAATCAGTTTTTATTTGAGATATGCAGATTATCTTTCATACTATGTGCTTTTGGTAAAGAAAATGACAGTTTTGTAGAATAAAAATTTTACAGGGAGAATTTCTGGTTAGTTTGGCAGTTTTTTATTTCTGACATCATTGTCAAATCAGATCAGATCAAAACTAAAGGTTTTTTTAAACATAATGCTTGTGTTCTGTCCAACTCTATTCTAAAAGCTTCTTTTAAAAAGCTGAAGATCATAGTTCTCTAAATACATTTTCTGACCTTTTCCAAGCTTTATAGAAAGCTAACAAATCTTTGCACTAAAAAAAAAAAAAGCAGAAGGGTTCATGGAATTTCTTCTGTTTACTTGTTTACTGTCTGAAATTGTGTTGACTGCTAGAATTCATCTTCATCATCTTTCTTTTTACATTCATTGCACCTTAATTGTTGCCCTTCATCCTACTCTATCTTTTCTTAACTAAGGGGAAGGAGAAAAATCTTGTTTCAATAAAACTTTTGGAACCTCAACCACTGTTATATGCCTTAAACTAAACAAGAGCATTAAGATTTTCCTTTTAATGAACTGTACAAGGTGGAGTTCCTTTTTCTGTGTCTGGTTTTTTCAGGGTTCTGCCTTTCATGTTATTCATGAAATGGTGTAGGTTAGCTCTAAGATGTAATTATCCAGTTTCAAAAGGTCAGTACTCTGTACTTCATTTCCACCATTCACCTTTGCAATTATCCACTTCATTGACACTACCTTGACCTCATTCTATGCTTCCACCATTATTCTGGTCTTCCTATTAAAAAGTAAAATTCAGTGCAAGTCTGTACAGATATTTTATAGAGAGAAAATATTGACATTTTAAGGGAAAATTAAAAATCTGAAGGTTTTTTCACACGTTGCAAATTTTTTCTTAAGCTTTCCCTTTTCTTTATAAATCAGAATTTGGAGTTTCACACAAGAGCATAATATAGAATGGAATATCCCTGGGCTGCTCTGGGTTAGCTGTCCACTCCCAGCTTCTTGTGCAGCCTGAGCCTCCTTGCTCACAGGGCAGTATAGGAAGCTGAAAATGCCTTGACTTAGTGTAAGCACTGCTCAGCAACAATGAAAATTTCCCTCTGTTATCAACATTATTCTCATACTAAATTCAGAACATAGCACTGTACCAGCTACTAGGAAGAAAATTAACTCCTATCCCAGCTGAAATCAGGACTGTTAAATATGTAAATTTATCATAGTTATATCTTGGCTGCAATTAATTAAAATTTTACAGACATAGGTAAATAAATTTATCTTTGGTATCAGATCTTTGTGTGATAGTCATCCTCTGCTTCATTTTTTGATGAAATTCAATCTTGGATGGTTTTGTGATTTCTCTCTATTTGATGTCTGACAAAAATGAATTTGTATTGATTAGTGTCAACACTGTGAAAATGTGAAATTTCAGGCTTAGAATTTCAGCTCTGTATTTTGGTAGGTGCTTTGCAAGAAGACAGGGTTTCTCATGTTCTGGAATTTTCATGGATACTTGTAATAATAAATATGCCTGCATATTTATTTAAGAAAAAATATGGGGCATGTGTTTATAGTCCAGTAGAAAGTATTCAAACAACTTGCATAACTTTGGTGGGGAAAAAATAATATTTGCTGCTAAATAGGGGTATTTAATTTATAATTAAATTAATTAATTTAATTTGATTCCTTAATTTCCAACTATTGTACAGAAATTCAGTGGATAGATTTTAAAGACCTCGTTGGGAACATGTGAGCATCAAACATTTACTTGTGTGTTGGAGTTAGCAACTTGTAGTCTATCACTCTGGACCCACACAAATACTTTGATGACCTGTGCCCAAACTGCAGACAGTGCTCAAGGCGAGGCAACACCAATACAGAGCAGAGTGGAACAATCACTTTTACTGTCTTCTGATAATCTGAATGAGCTTCTTTAACTTTATTTGGTTTCCAATTGTTATTCTTTACTCAGAAGTAAGGTGGGAACAGACAAGTTTGCAATTTGATTTAGCTAGAGAATGACATTGTCACTATTCATAGGATCAGAATTATGCTGTAACAGCTCATTCTCTTTGCTCTGTATTCGGAATCTTTTCATTATTTGCCAGAAATTGATTTTAGAATAAGAGTAACCAATAGAACTGGAAAAGCACACCTCTATGGCACTTTCTAAAGCCTTGTTGGCACAGATATCCTGTTTCTTCAATGAAGAAGTGTCTTACAATGTTTTCACTCACCATTTTTATCAAACCATTGATTTTAGTTCTCACAGAACTGAAAATTGTAAAAAGCTCTTAAAATTTTGACCTTTTATTTAACATATTCACAATTCTCTTCTTTTTTCACCTCAATCAAAAGAACTGGAACCTTTTATTTTCACAATTTTTAATCTATGTTAGTTTCTTTTAATCTCCTGTTAAGAACCAGTTAATAATAACTTGTTAACACTAAATACTTGTCAATAATAATTCTTCTGAAAAAATTTCCATTAGTACTTGATAAGTACCTGTTTTGTGTTATAAACAAAAATTCACTTTACAATATTTTCATTTGAAGTCTGAGAAGTATTTATTGCAGCCTTGAGAAAAACCTCTATGTAGTTGTCTCTGAAGAATATATCAGGTCTTTGATAATTACTCTATGTGACTTAGTAATGTGTCTTTTTGTTGATATATTTAATTTATCCTATATAAGGATTTGATGAAAAAATTCATTGTTATCCTAAAATAACATTACAGTATTGGCCATAAAAGATAATATTTCACTTAAGACTATTAATCATGACCACAAGAAAGAGATTAACATGAAAACTTAAAAATCTTTCCTCTGATTATGAGGATAACTGTATGTAGCACTGAAGGTATACTTTAGAACTTCTTCAGTTTAATAAACATTTATTACAATCCTTCTAAATTGTAAACAGAAGAAAAACATGCTGATTTTAGAGAATAAAAAGTGAACTTTGACATTGTCAAGCCAAAATCAATCTCAGTTTTGTTTAAAACACTTTATTATTATTTTAATACTATTTTTCCAGAAATAACAGGAAAAGAATAGGATTTTGTTACCATTTACTGTATAAAAAATTACACATGCTTTACTTTTTTGAAGGTACATTTGATGAAAAATTGACTGTCTTGGTCATTTTCAAATTAAAATATTTAACTTTATGACACACGGAAGACTTACACCTTGGGCTGATTTCTAAGGTGCTGACCTTACTCTGAGTTGAAGCCATTTGCCTCACCCAGTGAAAACCAGGGGGTTTTAATCAGATTATTCCTCTTCCTTTTTCTTTCTTTTTTGGTTATTCTTCCTCCTACCCTCAACCTTCCCAGATGGAAAGAATGCAGTGTGAGAATGTCTCTGAATGGGGAAAGAGAGAGCAACTAGAAGAAGAAAAACAAAGTTTGGAAGAAGAGACCAGAAAACTCAAAATGCAGGTAAAAGAAATTCAGAAACTTCTGGAGATGAAAAAAAAAATAAAGCAACACTAACTAAATTGAGTTGTGATCATTACAATACACAAAGTAGGCTTTTGGTAAATATCAGGTTATTTTTACTTAGTTTAGTATTATTACTTAGTTGGATTATTTGGGGAGCATTCACACCCAAAATTACTATTTCAAAATGTCAAAAAGTGTCCATAAAGCAAAGATTATACCAGAGAAAGCAGCCCTTACTGCATCCCAGACTTGAGCAATTGGACCTCAGTGGCTTAGAATTTCTGTAGGGTACAGAAACAGAAAATATTTTCTGTTCATTTTTAAAAGGTGCAGGGAGAAATGACAAGTATAACAAGACTAGGAAGCAAAAGTGAAGATTGGGAGGAACAGAAGAGATTAAGTGAATTTTGCAAGCTACAGAGTTCTGATGAAGGTCAAAGCAAAAAAAAACTGTGAAATAAATCATTTCCCTGTCTTGTTGAACATCAAATCTCTTCTTAGGAGAGGGAGAACTGAAAGAAGCGCCTATTCCTTATTTTTTTGTGCCTCCAAAGATCTGTTCATTTATTGTCCTGCTGAAAATGGCTTGATAATTTATTCAAAGACCCTTAGCTGGGCATATTTCCTTTATTTTATGGATCTTAATGCTGATAACTAAATAGTAATCCAGAAGGCTCCCACTTTCATTGAGACTCTGAAAGTTCAGAAAAGAGAAAGTAAAAAGGCTCCCAAACCCACCCACCAATCAATCACTAAATGTATGTATCCAATGCTATGAGGTGTGTAGTGAGAAACAGCAGCTTTTTTTTTTTATTTGCCTGAATAACAAATCATTTCATCTAATTTATGTGCATTTGCTGCTGAATAATGACAGCTAAGTTACCAGATTTAGGGTTTAGTAACTAGGTAATTTCTCTTGGGAAAGATTGAGAGAGAGATTTTATACTTGGTAGCTGTTAAATGTAATCATAGGATTTTTCTGTTTCCATCATGACTGAGTAATAGCAAATGGAAGCTCATGCATATAAGCCTAACATATATTACATAACATACAATGGGTTTTAGCTTTTCTTTACTACTATTTATTTTATGATAACATATACATATCATATCATACCATATCACATCAGTATTTTCTTGATTTATTTGTAATGCGAGTAACATGAGGTTGGAGATATGGCCAGAAAGAGGCTCATCTGCTTAGGCATATTACTATATTTCAAATCTCTGCTGCTTGTATGTCTGTGCTGGCTTGTTTATGTGTTTGGTTTTGTTTTAAAAAACAGTTAGTTGCATAGACAATTATTAGATATCTGTGATCAACTCTCTCTGCTAGTATCAGCTCTCTCCATTAGTAAAGCACCCCTATGTCTGATTTACAACAACTGCAAAACATGGAATCACTGGAAAGTCAGACTGGAATGAACCTCATGAGATCTTCAGTCCTACCTCCTGCTCAAAGCAAGACCAGCTCCGAAGTCAGAGTTATGCAAGGTTTTGTCTAGTGAGGTCTCAAAAACATCCAGGTCTGCATGACCTACTCTGGGCAGTGGGTTTGTGATGGCTTGACCCCAGCTAGCAGTGAAGCTCCCACCCAGCCTCATTCACTCCCCAGCAGTGTCTTGGGGGACAGAATTGGAGGGGCAAAATTGAGAAAAAACTTGCGGATTGAGATAGAGACTGATTAATAACTGGGAAGGGGGAAAAGGGAAAAGAAAGGAAAAAAAAACAAGTGATGAAGAAGGGACCAACACCACCACCTAGCCAGTCTCTAAGCAACAGCTGCTTTGGAAAAAACATCACCATGTCATTGCAAGGGACTCTTCCTTCCCAGGTGTAAGACTTCGTCACTGCTAAATTTCACAAGGTTCTTGTTGGCCTCCTTCAACTTAACAACAGAACTACTTGATTGCACCTACAGGCAAGGATATTGCTCCTGCCTGCCCCAGCCTCAGAGGGACACAGCAAGACCTTGATAGGAGCATTTTCCCTCCAGAGCTGTGAATTGAGCGTGTGATGTGTTTAGGCTCCATTTAGGCTGGGAACCATGCCCTTCATCATCCCCAAGGCTGAGGTCTCTTGCAGTCTTCAGCAGCGTTTCCAGCCAAATCTCCTAGCCAGAGTCTGGCATAGAATCCTAAGCATTCTTCTGACTGTGTCCAAGGTTCCTGGCCTCTGGCTGCAGAGAGCAAGTGGTACCACCAAAAACTTCTGTGACCACCAAAAGGTCTCCTGTAACACCCAACACCCATTGACAACATGAGTAAAATTAAGGAGCAACAGGATTAAAGTGCTGTGCCAAACCCTTAATGAGAAAGTTAATCTTGCTGCTATTAAATGAAAAACAGGTGTTAAGAAAAGAAAGTGTTCCTTTTTCAAGGATTCCATCCTAACTCAATTTAGATGGAACCTGTCTACTCCTTTGTAGACACATCCTAATGTCACTGTTGAACCTTGCTAAATTCTGAGACTGTTTCTGATTTTCTCTAATACTATAAATAACCTGAAAACAATTGCTTTGACTTCTAGTTCAAGACCCTTTTATTTCTGGGATGGTAGCTTCAAGTTCAAATAAAATAACATTATAAACAGGGTTAGAGTAGTAAAAAAGAATGACTGCTGTAATGTGGGTGATGGTTAGATGTCTACATCAGCAGAAATTGAAACTAAAGCTATTTAAAGGTCTTTGTGCATCGTTATGTGTATGATTATGGCTTTATTCAGCAAGTAGACATAAGACATACAGCTAATTTTTTGTAGAATGAATCCCAAACCAAGACACAGTTGCCTAGTATTCTACTTTTTTCCAAAACTTCTATTTGTCAGATTATTTGGATCATCCATTATAGTTGTTTAAAACCATATTCAGTGTTATTAACTGATATATGGCTGATTTGTACTTTTTGAGGATATAAGCAAACAATTGCAACATTTTTTATTTAGTAATGGTTTTAGTAGTATTAAAACATGGTATCAATACACAGAAATTAAATCCTTACATCCTTGTCTAAACAGTTTCATGGTGACAGTTATCTTGCTCTTTAATATGTATACATACCTCCATAGGACATAGAATTTGTGCTATCTCTTGCCACTCATAGTAGTAAACCATGTAGATTGAAGTTCTGAATATATAATGTAATACTAATTATGTCTTTCAAAAAGCGTAAGTCCTTAATATTATTCTTAGCTGGCAGTAGGTTGGTTTAAAATGTTTCCACATGCAGCTTTTGAAAGGTTAAGTTCCGTTGTACAAGATGAACAGAATTGATGAAACAATTGGGACCAGACATTGTTGCTGTGCAGTTTTATTGATTGTACCTCTTGAAATGGAAAATACCATTTAAATTAATAGATGTATTATTTGACTGATATCATGATAACAAATACTAAATGGATCTAGCTGGTTCATCTAGGAAAGGATAGCATGAAAAAACCCGCCTTGTTGATGGTATAAGTCAATACCCAAAACATGATTTTTATGGAAAAACATTTTCTCTTTCATCTGTGAATATGACCTTGAAACAAACTTATAAATTAATTTTGAGGAATATTCACTATTCTTTTGTATTATCTCTAATGATTATGGTAAATAGCTGGCTATGAAATATTAAATTAATGGAATATGTTCATGGACATGTTAAATTAATGGAATATTCAGCGGACCTGAATATTGAATTGTGGAGCTTGTGGATGCGTGAAATAATTTTTATTTTAAGTTTGATTTCTACCTATAATGTGATAAGGTTATCATGTTGTTAGCAAAAAAACCCGTACATTTGTGGGCTTTGTGAGAAGAGCTTAGGAGCTCCCCCATCCCAGACACAAGCAGCTCCAGGTGGCTCTAAAGGAAGCCCACTGGCCAAAGCTGAGCCAATGTGAGAGAAACAACCCTGCAGACACCAAGGTCAGTGAAGCAGGAAGGGGAGGAGTTCTCTGGGAGCCAGAGGATGGATTCCCCTGCAGCCCATGGTGCAGACCAAGGTGAGGCAGCTGTGCCCCTGCAGCCCTGGAGGTCCATGGTGGAGCAATGGCCATCTTACCGTCCATGCCTGACCCTCTGCTGGAGCCTGTGCTCCGAAGGAAGGTGCAGCCTGTGAGAGCACATGCAGGAGCAGGCTCCTGGCAGGAATCTCAGACCCCAGGGGCCCCACTCTGGAACAGTCTTTCTTAAAAGTCTTACTGCATAGAAGGCTCCCATCCTCAACCAGTCCTTGAAGAACTGTAGCCTGCAGGAAGAAGCCATGCTTGAGCAGTTTGTGAAGGATTGTATCCCATGGGAGTGACACCCCTCACTCTGATACAGGGGAACACGTGAGGAGGAAAGAGAAGCAGAGAGAAGAATGCATCCTGACATTCCCCTTTTGTGCATAGACAGAAGAGGCAGTGCAGAAAATGAGTAAAGAAGTGATGTTGAGCCTGACAGGAAGGGTGAGAAGGAAGATTATTTTAGTTTTTTCTTTGTTTTTAACCATTCTACTCTATTTTTATAACAGGTAATAGATTAAATTTTCCCCTAGTCAAGTCTATTTTTGTGAAGTAAATTTATCTCAATCCATGAAACCTTCTCTCTTCTTTTCCACTCCTGTCTTGTAGAGGAAAGGTGTGAAAGAGCAGCTGGGTGGGCATCTGGAATTCAGTCAAGACATCATAGTGTCAGAGGTGGATGTGTTCCTCACATTTCACAGGCAAAAGTTGCTTTTAATGATGCAACTTCAATGACGTTGATTTTCCTTGCATTTTTAAAATATAGGAAGATTATCCACTGTCTCCTTTCCCTTAGACCCTTTCCTTTCCTCCCTTAGAAATGAAAGGGGTACTTCCGAGGTTCTTCCTAATTATATGAGGTATTTAATGATGGTTTTCTTATATGCAGAAAATAATTCATCTGTTTCATAGCCATGAAGTCCTCCTAACAGTATCACTGTGTAAACTCTAATTTTTATAGATACAAAGTTTTGGTGTAGGAATAGGAACAATGTGAATGACATTCTTCC